AACTTCCCTTTCTTCAACTGAAGAGGGGAAACGACTGACAATGACAAATACAGGGAATGGACAAATTAACAACCAAAGCAATGAAGAAAATGTGTTGCATTTTAAGCCACAGGTTCAGTGGATTAGCACAGATGTGTTTTTCCTGTCTAAAGGAAATGCAGGAGGTCTTCTATCATATTTTTTCCCCTTGTTGGGGAGAGAAATTGATGTCAAAAACAAATGTAGGTCAGTGGGACAGGTATGAATGGAACAAGTAAGCATTCCAAAAATTCCAAAAAACACCACTAGCCAGACACATTGTAGTCATCTGAATTTGCCTCCAAATATTGAGTAGAAAAACAGGCAATTCTGCAAACTTAAGATTTCAATTATGTTAAATAAGAAAATATTACTTTTATACCAGTACCAATAATACCAATATAAGACTTTTGACCTGTGAATAGTGAATAAGATAAATATAATATTGTAGGAGCACGTGGTGTTAGGGGATGTGCATGTGTGCAAATGTGAACAAACCCACATGTCCTTTTGAATGAAATTTGGGGAAGAATTGGGGTATTCACCTATCTATGGAGTCCTGTTCACAAGAGCTGCTTAGGTATGTGTTTGTTAAAGAGTAAGAACAATTAGCAGGGATACACAAATTGAATCAGGGGAGGTAGTTCATTCAAAGTAAGCTGTTTTTTCTTGTTTAGCTTCTTCCCCAGTATATTGTTCTAATTTGTTTCATATAATGCCCTTAATTTTAAAACGAGTATACAAAAATGCCCATAACTTATGTTCTTTGTTGTGCTAATTGATTTTTATACAAATAAAATGTTTATAAAAATTATAATTTAAAAAGGAATTTAAGACTATACAGTTGAACGTCTAGCTCTACTTATGATGTAAAAACGTGAAAATGAATGTTTGATGGAACTAAATCCTGTAATTTGTATCGTGTAGCCTGACTTTATTACAGTTGAAGATTCAGATATTTTTTCAGGACTTATCAGGAGCCTGCATTTAAAATTAGGATGGCAAGTAAATAAATAAAAGTTTGATTAAGTTTTTCCCCTCCAACAGCAAATCATGAAGAGACTTATAAAACGTTACGTTTTGAAAGCTCAGGTAGACAAGGAAAATGATGAAGTCAATGAAGGTAAGAGCCTATAGAGTTATTCATACGGTAATATAAATGTAAAAGAAAAAAAAATGAAAAGTGTTGGAGGTCTGAGAAACCAGACATTTGGATTATGGGAGGAATGATTCTTTCTGCTTTGGGCTTCAAAACAGATATTTAACACTGTAAATGTGGGTAAAAACAATGAAGTGGAGAAAATAGTGTATCTAATAATAGACATAGTGTTTTTCATAGTAAACTAATTAAATTAATAAATGATTTCCACTGGGATAAATTACTTTTACAAAAATAATCTTTTAACTACTGTATAGGCCAGATTAAATACTTGAAAATAACTAAAATATTAAATCTTCAAAATGCAACAGTCTTAACCTTTAGAAATATCCACGAGTTGGATTCGCTTCTAAAATTAGCTGATAAAAAAAGAAAATATACATGACCTAAATCTCTCTGGGGTAATGTTTTGCTTTAAGATATGAAAAGTTTTACAACAGAAAATAAAAAAGTTACGGTACTTGATATTTTTATAAACATACAAACATGCACACAATTTACATTTTATATTTGGAGGTGAGTGGGTTCTTTTTAGCTTTTTTGTTTCTCTTCCTAGGTAAAACTGAATCCCTTCCCCATTAATTTAATTTAATTTAATTTAATACATTGACTTATATGCCGCCCTTCTCCCCACGGGACTCAGGGCGGCTCACAGCATATTAAAACAACATAGCACATTTCCCCAATAAAAGCCAATTAAAACCAAATATTTGTAGCTGTGTCTCTTATTAAAAATCATTAAAAATTATCCCTATTTAAAATTCACCCTAGGTCA